TAGACCAGGTAGGGTGACATAGAGAGACCGCGTCTCAAAGTTAAATAACACACTGGAGAGAACTGGTTGTCTTCCAGAGGATCTGGGTTCAAGTCTCATCACTTACATAGCAGCTCACATCTGTTTCAGGAGATGACATCCTCTTCTGGCCTCCAAAGGCATCAGTCAAGCACATGGTACACAGACATAGATGCAGGCAAAACACTCATACATGTAAGATAAAAAATAAATAAATGAATAAAATGTAAGATGAGGTGACAGATTCTGTCAGGGGGACTAGAGAGCTAGAAATACAGCTAGCATTGAGAACATTGATGACCTCATAGGGGCCTCATCCTGGACCCTTTGGCAAACTTCTGTCTCTAAAAATATTTACATTATGATTCATAACAGTAGCAAAATTGCAGTTATGAAATAGCAACAAAAATAATTTTAAGGTTGGGGGTCACCACACCATGAGGAACTGTGGAAAGAGTTAGGAAGTTTGAGAACTACTGAGCAATAGGTTTGCTGGGAGGGCCTTTGTGTCTTTAGAATGAGAAAAAAAAGTAGATGTATGGGGGCGATGTGTAAATCCGGGGGAGGAAAGATGAGGGTTGCCTCTGTAGATGGTCTGCAGTTTTCTTGGTGACAGAGAAGGTAAAGCAATGGAAGGGTTAGGGGGTAGAGAAAGTGAAGACTGCTGTGGAAAACTACTTTTCATGGCAAGAATAGTCAAATCTGACTGTAGGTCTGTTATCTTGAGTTTATGTCCATGGGTCGAGTGCTTGTTGCTGTTTTGGCTGTTTTCTTTTTCTTCTTCTTTATTTATTTTTCAGGCCCAATGTACATATATTGCTCTTGCTGGCCTTGAACTCCAGTACTCCTTTGATCCACCTGACTCATTCCCCAGAAGCTTCAATTTTAGGTGTGGACCAACATACTTAACTTGGGTTGGGCCTTAAATGGTGATCAGAAAAAGGAAACCCTGGATCTAACATTACAGAAGTCTGGGGCCCAGAAATGTGATAGGTTGAGTATCATTCAAGCTTTTATAAATTTCAAAACCAGTCCTGTTTTGGGGACTCTCTTCTCTATGTCTTCCCACAGCCTTTAAACATGGCCAAGACTGACTCAACATGCCCTCCCAGGTCAGTGTCGTTCTCTTCCCTCCATACTCATGTATGTAGCAAGCACTTATGTAGCAAGCAACTTTTTGAAACAATTAACTGCTGTGTTTCTTCATGGAGTTTCATAGCTTTATGTCTAGCTTTATGCCCTAGCTTGAGAAATTTAGCTGCATCTTGAAATCTGGGCTTTTCAAGTTTGTCTGTCTGATTTGTTGTTTTGAGACAGGGTCTCATAGTCCAAGCTGCCCTCAAACTCACTGTGCCTCCACCTCCCAAGTGTTGATTTTCTGATTTTACAGGCATGGATCACCAAGCGTGGGCTCTTAGCGTCTTTTAAAAGCCTGAGTGCTGGCCTGTGGGATGGGAGGTATTGGTACTTACTGCCAAGCCTGATTTCCATCCCTAGGATCCACAGGGTGGAACCAGAGAACCAACTCCAAAACTTTCTCCTCTGACACCCACACTTGTGCCATGATGCGCCCCCACTCCCATCAAATACATGTAATAGATAAAATATAAAAGCCTGAGTGTGTTGACCTTAGGGCTTTAAGTTTGTATGCGTTTTAGGCTGGTCTTTGGGGGCAGGATGGAGGATGAGTTCACCTGAAGAAGGCTGTTGGAGGCTGCCAAAGCAGCATAGCTCAGAAAGGATGGGGTGCCAGTGGAATGGTGGTAGGAATTTGAGGTGAAATGGATAGGGCTTAGTGATTCATCCTTCATAGTGACTCATTCATTCCTAACTTCCTAATTCAGATGGCTGTGTGAGGGTGGTGCTAATAGCTTTGGGAGGGGAAGCTATAAAGGCAGAGGACAAGTTTTAGTTTTGGACCCAGCATTGGTGTTTCTCGGTGAGCTCTAGGTAGAGATGCATGATAGGCAGTTGGCTGTTTGATTCTCTGTTTTGTATGAGACATCTGATGGATTTGGGCCTGTAAAGCAAGGGTGGAGATGATCCTCCAAGAGTGAGTGAAGGAGAGTGGATACAGCTGTGGGCTTCCAGTGCCGCCCAGCATTTCAGGTGCTGCTTCACAATCAGTGGCACTTAAGGATGCCGCTGAAGAAGGCAGAGGTCTTAGTGACTGAGGCTTGACAAGTGGGAGAGCAAATTCCTCAGACTGAGGCAGCAGAGTGATTCCAGAAGGTGAGAACACCCACAGTATCAATGTAGCAGAGAGGTAGCTACTTCTTGAGGAAGAAGGTAGCTCTGCACCAGTGGTGGGTGACATGAAGGTCCTGGGTTACTCTCACTTGAGCAGGGTGAAAAGGGCCTCTTTCTGTGTGTGTGTGTGTGTGTGTGTGTGTGTGTGTGTGTGTGTGTGTTTGTGTGGTCTGTTTGACAAAGTCGAGGAATGAGGAAGTAGAGGTAGCCAGGAGGAGGAGCTCACTGTTTAAGAGGTGTGGATGAGAGGGCCAGAAACATTTGGCAGCTAACTGAAGAGGGCACTCTAAGTGGATGGTTGGCTTGACAGTTTTATTTATAGGGCCTGGAGAGGCTCGAGCTTGCTTAAAATCTGAGAGGTAAAGGACCAGGAGCCAAAGGAATATGTCCAAGGTTTGTTCAGCCACACCCAGGCTTCCTCAATCCTTATCCCATTTACCTCAGCACGAGCAAGGTAGGAAACACCCACAGAGGTTTGAAACGCAATGGTGAGCAGGAGCTGGCCATACACAGCTGTGGTTCATCTTCATTTACTATGATGTCCACACCACCTGGCAAAAAGAAACCCCTAGGACTGCCATCCCGGACTCAGACCACCATTGGTGGAGAGCAGGAGCAGCATCCTTCTTGCTTCCAATGAAGCACATTAGGGCCATGGATCTGGGACACAGTACTGACCCAAATGAGGTGCCATTATGTGCTGTAGACCAAGACGGTGTGTCCAGAGAGGTGTCCAGGCCGGATGCTCCTTGGTGGACTGTGCCCAAGAGTGGGGATCAGGAGCTGAGCACATGCTGTTATCTACTTTAGGATAGTCGAGCAGGGAGGAGATATGTTTGCAGAAGGCGGCGGGTGAACAATAACAAGCCCTGGCTAGGCGTCTGGGCTGCAGGTGAGGTAGACTCAGGGCAGAAAGATGGCGGAGCTTGAGGCAGCAGGTGGCAGGCTCTGCTTCCCGCGCTCAAAGCAAAGCGGAAGGCAGTGAAAACCAAACCCGCGATTTGGATATCCGGGCGGGGCAGTGCCCCGAGATAACTCTTCTGTGGAGGGAAGTTATTTAATTTGCATCCAGCGCTGTCGGAAGAAACTCCTCCCTGAGGCCCGGGAGGCTTCGGGTGTGGAAGCTTTTAAGCCTTACCTGACTGTGTACTCTGTCCCACGCCTGCGGGTTGGGCCAGGAGTTGCATTGGGATTAAAGTGGTCTTTGTTTATTGGTTTGTTTGTTTTTTTGGTGTAGGTGGGGATAAAAGAGGGAAAGAATCTGCACCCGGAGCTAGGACTTCGCTGTCACCTTGCTAGCACAGGCGTCCTCTGGACTGCCACCCTAGGCAAATCTGCATTTACCACTGGGCCTCAGTTTCTGTGCTCATAAAAAAATGGGGGTTTGGACTATAATCTCTCTTCATGACAAGCAACACACAGTCCGTCGCCTCCTGCCACACGAGTCCTGCCTGAGCAGCATCCCGCTAGCGGTTCTTGCTTAGGCGGGCTGGGGGCCCCACGAGAGGAGGTGGGCGGGACCAGACGGTCGCCCCGCCCCCTGACGGCCCCTCCACGCCGGGCGCTGGGATGAGGCAATCACGTGACCTCACATCCGGCGCGGGAGTCCTGAGCTCGCGGGGCGCTCCCCGTGTGCCCACCGGCCCTCCCCGCAGCGTGATCGGGCGCCGTGGCCGCGGGGAGGGGGTCCGCTTCGTCGCCGCCGACGGCGGGAGGCCGCTTCGCAGCGCAGACCGCCCCCCCTCCCCTGCCGGTCTTCCGCGCCGCGCTCCCTTGTTCTCGCCCGGCCCGGCAGCACGCCGCCGCCGCAGGCGCCGACAGCGGAGCGCGGACACCCCTGCGCCCGGTGCGGCCCGGGCCCCGTCGCGGCGTCTCTGGCCGCAAAGCCCGAGCGGCGACGCGCGGCGGCTGCGGCACCTCGAGCCCGAGCGACCCGCGACCGCCGGCGCCGGCCGAGGGCGATGGGGCTGGGCTGAGGAGAGGGGGCGGCGGTGGCGAAAGCGCCCCCACCCCGGCCCCCTGCGGCCTTTTGGCTGCCCGGGCCGGGAGGCCGCCGAGGAGTCGGCACGGCCGCGCTGCTGGTGAGTGGCTGGGCGAGCGGGCTGTGGGGCGGGCGGCGAAGGTGAGCAGGGAGGCTGGAGGAGGCTGACGGTGTCGCCCCGGTGGCGGGTACCAGCTGCTTCCATGGCCCGAATTGGACACCACCTCCATGGAAAGGTGTGGGTGATGGGGAGAGAGGGCACGGAGACCGGACACTGTCTGGGACCACGTGTGGGTGTGGAGGCCTGGAGTGCACCCGGTCCGTGCGGGCCGGCCCGGTGGGCAAGCTAGCCACTCAAAGTCCAGAAGGTGATGTGCCCCTCGAGGAAGAGTGTGGAAAGGGTCCCATCCCAGATGGGTTCGTGCAGGTGCTGACAGGCTGAATCCTAGTTCGGCCCTAGGCAGTGTATTACCCTAGCTATCAGCACACTTTACACCGATAACCGAGGCCCAGAAAGGAAAGTGACTTCGGGCTTGATGAGGTGTCAGTGAACTCCAGATAGTAAAGAGAAAGGCACAGTCAGACCGTTGGCCGGATGATATCTTTTTTGCTGGGGTGTGGAGTTGGGGCGGGGAGGAATTGCTTTGGAGATTGACAGTAACTGTTTGGGGCTTCCCAATTTGGAAAGCTTTTGTGACAGGTGTTCATTGTTTACTTTTCCCTTAGGTCTGACAGAAGCATCCTAAGATCTTGGTGTCTGGACATAAGAGGTATGAATCACTTATATAATTAACTACTAATCATTAATGTTTTAGAGCTATGTTTAGCGGTTATATTACTGCAAAATGAATGGGTATGAACTCATAAACCTAGAAACTGACATGATTCTAAACTGAATGGAACATACTTGAGTATTTTAAGGGTGATTTTTTTGATATATGAAGCAGGACCTTAGGATTTGTTTAAATCGAAGGAAATTGGGGACATTGGTGATGAAAGCCCTTCTAGAGGGTTTGTGGCTAACATGAAAGCTTGTTAGTACTTTTAAGTATTTTTATTTATGTCTGAGAATGTGTGTCACATGTGTGGAGGCCATGCCCTTTGGAACTGGAATTAAACAATTAAACAGATGGTTGTGAGCTACCTGCTGTGGGTGCTGGGAGTCGAACTCAGGTCCCCTGTAAACACCTTTTTACTGCTGAGCCATCTCCCTGTTTCCAATGTGATTTTATTTTGGAAGGGCCAGTACCTCATTAAAAGTGCTCCACCTTTGATTAGAACCAAGCCTTTTTGTTAAAACACAACAATTTTGTTTCACTTTTTTTTTTTTTTTTTTCTTGAGTATTGCAGGTTTACTGAATAGGCTATAGTTGCCAAAGTAGATATCCCATTCCGGTTTGACAGCAACTTAGTTCATCAGTTTCTGGAAGTTTTCTGAAATAGTAAACCTATTAATGATTGTAAAGAAAATGAGAACAAGGTTTGGCTGTGTGCAGTCTAGGTTGGCCTCTAGTTCATGGTCCTGCCCTGCCACTGTTCACAGTGGCATCACATGCAGCACCGCTATGTCTAGTCTAGAGGATAATTTTTGCTTTCCTGATACAGTGTCTGCTCCCCTGCTCCCAATCTAAATTTTCATCATTAGATTAGGCTGAGGGTGAAGGTGAAGAGGTTGAGATTTTTATACATTGTTAGAACAGCAATACCTGTTTTGGCTTGTGGTATTGGGCAGGGAAAGTGATATTTTTATGTTTCATTTAAGTAGTGCAGTTATAATTAGATGAAAATATTAAGTAGCGGTGTATTTTTTGAAAACAAAGTTGAAAAGCTTCACGTTGTTGGCATGCTGTGTTGTAGGATGATTGATTTCTTTGCCCAGGCCAATCAGATATTGAAGTTTCATTTGTGTTTTTAGCTGGGCGGTTCTCGCCTGTGATCCCAGCACACAGGGAGGAGGTGGATCTCTGTGAGTTCGAGGCCAGCCTGGTCAAGTCCAGGACAGCCAAGGCAAGATAGAGAAACCCTGTCTTGAAAATTTACGTTTTAATTTAGAACTAGTTTGAAATAATATAAATTTCTATATTTTAAGCCTTAGCTTAAAATTCTTCTATTCAGAATTCCTAGGTAGCTGGCATTATAAACCTGTCACTCCAGGCCTTGAAAACCATAGTTAGAGTGAAACTTGTTCCTTAAGAGTCGCCTGGTTCTGTTATCAGTTATTATCATTAACAAAGTTTAGCTGGTTTAGTTTGCCCTTAATAACTGTGGAATGTCAGCTTCCCAAATGTTTTATTGGTTTTAAAAAATTATTTTTATGTTATGTGCATTGGTTTTGTCTACGTGTATGTCTGTATGTGAGGCTGTGGATTCCCTGGAACTGGAGTTATAGACAGTTGTTAGCTGTCATGAGGGTGCTGGTAATTCAACCTAGGTCCTCTGAACTGTTGAATCATCTCTCCAGCCCAAAATGTTTTTTTCTTTTTTTTTTTTTTTTCAAATATTGATTCTTCTCTGAATAAGTGTTTGGGGTTAGGGGTATAGCTCAGTTAGTAAAGTGCATGCTACTATGTGAGGCCCTTGGTGTGGTGTCAGATTCTTGCAATTTGTGCAGGAGGCATCAGAACTTCAAGGCCTCCTCAGCCACAGACTTAATTTAGGGCTAGCCTGGCCTAAATGAAACTCTGTTTCAAAAAAAAAAAAAGAAGAAGAAAAAGGAATGTGTGTTGACACTAGAGAAAATTATAATAGAAAGATTTGTTCATGGGATTTGGGAATGAGACCTGACTGACCACTGATTTTCTTGACTTTGTCAATGCCTATGATTATTGTGTGCTATGCTCTAAAGCAAATATATGATAATTGCTGAACTTTATTTTCTAGATGAGGAAATGGAAGTTTTGCAATAGGTTCCTAGTCATACTTTCACAAACCTAGAAATAAGAACTCCATGGTGTAGACAGTAATATTAAACTTAGCTTGTGGTTGTCTTCAGAGTTCTTAAACTATAGTTGCTTAGCTGCTTTTTTTTTTTCCTCTTTCTTGTTTCATTTTGATTTACAAAGAATATTTCAAAGAGGCTTAAGAGTAAACGAGCCTATGTAAAGAAAGGAACACTCAGCTCACTCTTCCTGGCACTTAGAGTTCTTTCTTCCCGTTCTGTGCATTGTGCTTCTATATCATGCATGGTAGCTTTGTAACCACTGAAGAGCATGCTTCATTCCTGAAATAAACAGTAAGCTTAGCAATATGCTGGAATCGCATTCCTGCACTCATGGAACCCAGTCAGTGGTCAGACTGAGAACAAGCAGAGACAGGAGAGCAAACTGGAATTTGGTCTTCTGTATTTTTTTTTCTCAGTGTTGGGTGATGGTCAAATAAAAATCTGAAGGACAGCCGAAGTCTTGGAAGACAGAAAATAGAATTTCAGAGTTATCTTAATAACATGGTCTTAATGTAAAATGAATTCTGTTTTGTGGTATTTGAATTTGAATTAGGGCTTCACAGATGATAAGCAGACATTATTCAGAGCTACATCCCCAGCCCCTTTTGTGTGTTTTTTAATAAACTTTTTTGGCATACGGTCTTAATGCTCTTGAGCAGGTTGGCTGGCCTTAGCTTAAAATTCTCCTATTCAGAATTCCTAAGTAGCTGGCATTATAAACCTGTCACTCCAGGCCTGTAAAACAATTGTTTGGTAGTATACTTGGTGGCCTACACTAACTATAAGTACTAAATGTGAGACCTTGTATGAGAGTAGAGTTAGGAGCTTATCATTGACAAGAACACTCTTTAAAAATGGTTCAGAGGTATGCTAAAAGTGGTTAATCTAGTGTTCAACATCTGTTAAATTTATAAACTCAGTGTACCCTAGAAGTCTAGTGATGAAATGTATTCTGAATACAATAGTATCTCTTCTGTACAGCCCCCATCCATAGCTTAACCTTCTGTAGTTTCATTTAACCATCATTCAGCTGTGTTTTGAAAATATTAAATGGAAAATTCCAGAAATAATCTAGATCAGTGGTCCTCAACCTGTGGGTTTCAACTCCTTTGGCAAACATCTATCTCCAAAAATATTTTTATTATAATTCATATCAGTAGCAAAATTAAACCTATGAAGTAACAACAAAAATAATTTTATGATTGGGGGTCATCATACCACGAGGATCACAGCGTTAGGACGGTTGCGAACACTGATCTAGGCACTTGAGTTTTGTGTTATTTTGAGTAGTGATGAAATTTTGCACTGCCTATTGTTCTGGCCTAGCTGTGAGTCACCTGTTGATCCAATAGACTCACTGTCAGTGCCTGTTTATTGCTTATTAGCCATTGTAAGCATCCCGCTTATTTATGTAGCTAGTAATTCATATTATCCAAAGGAACTAGAAATTGCTTCCCTTAAATTAAAGGTAAGATATTTTAAAAGGAAAATAAATGGAAAAATCACATTCACATAGTTTCCAGTATAATATAGTGTTAACTTGCTTCGTTATTGTTGATAATCTTACTGTGCTTAATTTATAAATTAAGCTTCATGTCTGTATGGAAGAAAACAATATTTTATGTGTGCACTGTCTAGCTGCTTTAGGGGACTACTGTATACCGTATCTGATCTGGTTAAATCTTGATCTAAGAGGTAGGCTACAGAATTTAGCCTTTGTTTTTTGTTGTTGTTAATTTGTCTATTATTATTATTATTATTATTATTATTTTACTTTGCGTTATTTGAAGTTAACTGGCCTTTATATACAGAGAGTGGCCATGTTGTTGGATTTTTCAATTCTCATACTTTGAGAGAGAAGTTCAGAATTCAGGTACATGTTTAATTTCTAGTTTTAGGTTAAAACTTTAGGTTAAAGGTTAAAAAAAAAAAGAAACCCAAGCATTCTGGGCTTATAATAGTTTTTTTAAAAACTTTAATTTATTTTATGAGTGTTTTGCCTGCATGTATGTCTGTATACCACATGTGTGCCTTATGCCTAAGGAGGCTATAAGGGATCATCTGATCCTGGAACTGGGGTTATGAATGGTTATGAACTACCTTGTGCTTGCTAGGAATTGAATCTAAGTTTTGCAAGAGCAACATGTGCTGTTTTGTTTGTTCATTTGTTTGTTTTTGGCAGGGTGTTTCTGAGACAGGGTCTCTGTGTCGTCCTGGAGCTCAAAATGTAGAGCAGTATCGCCTTGTATTTACAGATATCCTCCTGCCTCTGCCTCTTAAGTGCTGGGATTAAAGGATGTGCCACCATGCTTAGCTGCTACAAGTGCTTTTGACTGCTGAGCTATTTCTCCAGCTCTGTTTTTATTTTTATTTATGTTTTTAGTTATTGGCATGTGTCTGTCTATTCCTGTTTGTGCATAGGAGTCCAGGTGCCTGCAGAGGCCAGGGGTGTTAGCTCTCCTGGGAGTTGGAGTTGCAGGCTGTTGTGAGCTGCCTGATGTGGGTGTTTGAAATCAAACTTGAGGACTCTGGAAGAGCAGTGTGTGCCTTCTCCCAGCCCCAGCTTAATCTTGAATAAAGTAGATATTTAAAAGATAGAAGTGGGCAAGAGAGGTGGCTCAGCCTTAAAAGCACTAACTGCTCCTGTGGAGGTTCACTTCTCAGTACCCACATGGGGCTCCAGTTCCAGGGGATCCGATGCCTTCCTCTGACCTCCATGGGAACCTGCACACATGTACATACATACACACATTAAAAAAAAAAAGATAGAAATGTCCTGAAGTTAATGATAATCTGATAACCATTAAGGCATTTAGAATATTGGCATTA